AAGACACTAAAATACATGAGATAAAACACAAGTGAAAATGTTAATTGAGCCTCTGGGCCAGCCACTTATAAAAGTGCACATTTCTGTAATTATCAGGACAGAGCTTGCCTGCAAAATACGAACAAGACTCTGAGACCAACGATTTCCCTAGCAAGCCTCATGTTTTATATGCAGGCTGGAGCCACATCTCCAGAACTTTGAACAATAATTAATCAGAAGGAAAAGCAGCAAAGGTTAGCTCTCCATAAAAGAATGGGTTTTTAACCTATGAAAATTAGCTCCTTTAAAAATTGAATCATCCCTTTAAACCCTTTCAAAAGAGGGGAAATGCAAACCAGAAGAGCTATTAATTCACTTCTTCACCCTTCCCTCATCACACAAAATATTATTTCTCTGTGTTCAAGATGAAACAACCACGAACTGCAGGAATTTTTCTCTCAGTGTGGACCAAGCCCTGCTAACAGGTACAGGTGTGATCCATGTGCCAGGGCCTCCTTCCCCCATGCCCATCCACCTGAACACAGCCCTGCTAAGCCACCAACCCTCTCCAAAGCTTTCTCAACAGGCAGCTGCTTGTAGGGCCAAGGAAAAGGTGGTGCACACCCCCTCAGAGCAAGGAGGAGCCAAGTCCCCATGAGGGCAAGGTTAGCAGTGATTATGTGCCTGTTTTCAGCCACACAGTCCCTGGAGAAGGTGAGGAGGATGCTTTTTGCGATATCCAAAACACTCCTGTGAAGCGGATGTTTCAGTCAAAGAGCTTCCCTGCACTGAGAGAGGGGGATTTGCAGGCAGGGATTGGAGCTACAGAGACCTTTTGTTCCTGTCCATCACAAAAGCAGTTGGATCTTAATCCCCCGGTGTGGAATCAGTGCAGCACAGCACACGCCCAGGGATGAATTCATTTGCCTGAACACAGGCATTGGATCATTTGTCACCGAGCATCTGCAACACCTGTGAGGCCTGGGAGATAAAACACAAACCTGCAACAAGGCTGAGCCCTCTGAAACAGGAACAAAATACCCCATGGCACATCAAACAGCACTATCACTTCTGCAAGGGCTGCTGAGCTCAGCTGTTCATTTAGGCTGAGCACAGAAACTCCCTAGGCTTCATTCCTTCTGTCAATTAGAGCTCCACTGATGTGTATTAGAGCTTAAATACTTAAATTAACTGTTGATATTGCTTGGAAATACCTAGATTAGTGGGTTTTAATCTGAAAGATCTTCTAAATGCCTCCAGCTCCTGCCTGCAGCCCAGAGCAAAGTGAGCAGCTCATGATGGGTGGGTGTCACCACAGAATATCCCCCTGCCCCACCAGGTGTTTGAGACAAACTCAAATCAGTTGAAGCTACAAAAGTAAACACTTATTATCCATCAGATGAACACTGAAGCCCAGATTTTCCCCTTGCACAGGGAAATTTGTAGGGGAAGTGTTAATGTAGGCATACTTTAGCCTGTAACATGCTCTAAGTACGTGCTTGAATGGCTGCTTTTTAGCAAGCAGCAAAACCAGACTCATTACAGGCCATTTGCTGAATTAATCAAGCTTCAGGATATCCTAATAAGTGAATTAATCTGTTTCCTAAAACAAGACTAAAAGCTTCACACTGTCAAAGCATAAACACATCTAGAGGGCAGCAACGATATTGTCATTTTTCGCTAAATATAGAACCTGAGCAGAGACAAGTGCACAGTCACACACTGCACCAACACAGACTTTTCTTTTTTCCTGTTTCTTTTAATTTTTTTTTTCCCTCTTCGAAAATAATACATAAGCTTTGGTACAAAACTGTAAAATTGTAAGTGGATGGAATAATTTTCACATCCTTGGTCAAAGAGCATTTTAGCCCATATTTACAAATCACACTGCAGGGTAACCAGAGCGTGATCTGTCAACATGACTTTATTTCCCAAATAAAGAGGGAGGAAAAAACCCCAACATATCACCAAAATAACAAAATGTCAGGGATATAAAATCCTCACAGACTGACAGACGTTGTTTTACGAATGCATCTGAAACTTATCTGAGTCACTCAGCAGCTCCCAGGAGACACAGAGAAACAGACCCAGGCACAGAATCACCACGGGAATTTCTTGCAGTTTGGATGGAAATATTTTATGCAAACAGTTTATTCTAGCATGGCAAACAGGAGGGGAGTTTTTTAAGCACAAGTTCTTTTCCTTAAGGTTTTTTTTTTTTTTTTGCCCCAAATGCTTTTTCATTGAATTTGCTGGCATTGGCAGCAGTTTGATAGCATTCCCCATCTGAGTTAGAGTGAACATTAAAGCCTGAGAGGTGACAGGATGGACACAAAGCAGGGGAGGTGCACACAAAGCCTTTGCTGAGCTGATCTGTGGAGGAACCTACCTGTCTGTTTTTGTCTTGAGTTCCATTCCCTACATGCACAGAGACTCCACTGAGGTGCAGAAATAGCCCCGTGAGTATCAAAACTTGGGCATGGATCAGTGTCTTGTGCTTCTCTGAGTTTTTTGGTAAGTTTTTCATACAGTTTGGGCACTTCCCAGTCTGGATTTGCCAGTGTCTACAATGCAAAAGCTTTCCTTCACAGGGAATGCTACTGGGTTCATTCCCTCCAGCTGCTTTTAGGAAATTGGTGGGAAATTGGAATCTTTCAGAGCCTGATTTCTAAAACTGAAAAAGAAATCACTGGAACTGATCCAAATTTTTTACAGGCTTTCAAATGAGAAATATACTCAAAGATAGAGAAAATATACCCACAGATATACAAAATAGACTCAACAGACACAAAAAAACAATGCAAGGAAAAGCTGTAGTTCCTAAAAGGTGGCAGCTCATGAACATGGGATACCTGATAGTTTAATAAATGCTGACAACCTAGAGCAGGATAAGCTCTTAGCAGAAGAAAGGCAAAACAAAATAGAACAAAACTACATGTCCTAGGCACAAATCTTATGTTGATTCAAGCCCTCTCCTATCAGACCTTCATTTTGAGCTGTATTATTCACCTCTGAGATTTGCAAGATCCATTTCCCATTCTTTAATCAGTTGTCTCTGCTCATTTTATCATCTGCATGGGGAACAACAGCTAAGGTTTTCAGCACAATGAGCCTGATCACAAATGAGGCAGCCCACAAACCAACTTGCTGAAATCATGCAAGTGGTCACAATGTGTCAGTATTTGGTTTTCCCAAATTCTGGACATGTTCTGCATGCAGTAATTATATTTTTCAAATACTAAAAGAGATTGCATGTGTATTCAAACCTTCACCTGCTGTCCTACTGTGTTCCCAAGCTTTAATCACTTAACTGTTATTCCCAAGGAGCTACTGATTCCAAAAGTTGACCAAATTTTGATATAATCCTTCTGTCTGTTTTCTGCATTACAACTTGGAGGAACTATACACATGGAAGTGTCAAAGATTAACTGGAGGTGGCGACCCATATTTTATGTTGAAAGGAGAAAAATACCCATTACCATTTCAATAATATTATTTCTGTCAGTCTTTAGTTTAATTAACATGCCATTAAGAGCAGAGAATTTAAGAAAACTTATTGGCACTGCAATACAAGGATGAGCCACCACTGATAAAGAGAGGAGCAGGGAAGAACTTTAAATCAGGTCATTGATGAACTAGTGAAAGCATCAACAGAGTTTATAAAGCCAAACTGGGGTATTCAATTTTATTTTTTTTTCTTCCATATGCAGGAAAAAACATTTTAATTCTTTCCACTGTGTTCTGCACTGCCCTTGATTCTCAGAAATTTTCTTCTGGTCTCAACTGAGACTTGTCCAAGTAGTGAACTACCTGCTGTAATCAAAGCCAGCATCACCCAGCCCGTTCCAGGTTCCCTCCTGTTTTATTGCAAAGACCCAGGTCTGAGATGGGAGGGCTTTAGGATGATTTTGCAGTTCTCTGAGGCAACCTTTTACTCTGCTCAGAGTCTGGGGTGACAGAAACTCATCCCTAAGACCAAACCTGGCAGGGGACTTTGTTTCACAGAGCCAAGGCACCAAACTTTTGGCAAGGTATCTGACCATGATACCGAGAGCTCGGGAAAGAATAAATTCACTTTCTACAAATTTAAAAATAAGATCTAAAATGTCAGGGTCACCCTTTTACGGGACTTTAGGAGAATGCTGGCCTCACAAAATTAAAACTACCTGCAAATGAGACCACCAACACCCAAGCAACAGATCAGAGTGAAACACGGGATGAAATTATCATTACATTAAAAACCACACTGAAAAAATGAGTGACAAACAAGTGGGTGCACATATTTGGAATTAATATGTTTAAAAACTCTTAATGAAAGGTCCAAAGGGTATTGACAGATAAGCAAGAGGAAATGAGTGCCTGGATCCCACAGACTGAACAATAAATTTATAGTGAGTCATGATTGTTTACCGTGAAGAATAAAGCATCCAGGAGATTTCTAAGGAGCCCCCATGCTCTCTTGCTTTGAATATTATTTGCCTCCTAATTTCCTCTCCTGTCTCCTGTGCAGAGCTGATGCAGCTCCAGCCTCAGCAGCCAGTCCCTGATGAAGTTGCTGAAACAGATTCCAGCCCTCAGCCTTCTTTCTGTCTGTCAGATACAACTCCCAGCACGCTGCTCACACAGCCAGCCTGGAAAAGGGACTGTCCTTTCAAAATACAGTTCTTAGCTGTTAGGACTAAGTATTTCATGAGCCAAAGGTTGTCTGATTATCCAGGTGGCTGCAGCACTGCCACAGACACACTGAGCTGTACGGAGCTACACAGGCACAAACACACAAAGCACCTCCTCAGACTGCAGAGGATATTTTCTGCCCGGATCTCCCTAAATGTACTTCAGCAAAGAGGAAACAGTGTCCACAAGCCTGCGCTTTTGAGAAATCTCCATCATTCCAGGCAAGAATTTTGAATATATAGCCTGGAATGTGGAGGAAATGTTGATTCCCAAGCAAACAATTTTTTTTTCTTTTATTATTATTATTTTTTCTTTAATGGAAATATATTTTGGGTGTCCCCAGGCGCCTTCTGAACGCGAGATCTGCGGGCGAAGAAGGGAGTTTGTACTTACTCGTGGTGTTGTATTTGATCCCATTGAAGAATTCTGGGCAGGGTCTCTCCACCAGTTCCCCCGCAGAGGTTCTGGGCCAGCAGGTCCCGATCTGGTCCGTGGTGGCATTGCAGTACGGACCTGGGATTAAAAAAATGAGACAGAAAGGGAAATAGAAGCGGTTGAGAAAGCACAAAAGCCACACACTTTGCATCACAAAACAAACCGAATCTCAGCACTTCTAAAGCTTTTCCCGAGCTCTGCACCAGGTAACAATTCCTACCATCAAAGCCCAGGAAAGGGATAGAGGAACTCTCTAAAAAAGTCTCGTGTAAGCGATCCAGGAGGCTGCAATTCACATCAAATTCTTCTAAGATGAACTGAGAGATCGTCACATCCATTATTCCCTCTGGGACTGCTGGACTGGATCAGGCTCCTTCACCCCTTTCTGGCTGTGGTTTGTTGTTTGTGTTTTTTTTTTTGTCCCCTCTTCTTTTTCCCTTTCTGGAGCCAAAGGAGCATCAAGCTGCGGGCACCCCGCAGTCTCTGGTGTGTGCGAGCCTCTCCTGCTCGCAGCGTGCTGACAACTTGGCTGAGAGTCTGCGTCTGCCTGTGCAGTTCAGCCCTCCGAGCTCTTCTTCCCTTTAAATCCAGCGGCTCGGGAGCCAATGGGATCGGGCTGAGCCCGGAGTGAGGGGCTCACGTCTCCTCGGTGTCCCTGGGCTCGCAGCTCCCAGATGCCGCCTCACTTTGCCAGACCGCTGTGCTGCTGCATCTCCCTCCCTCTCCTGCCTCTCCCTCCCTCTCTCTGACACACAGAGGCACAGCTTTATTGTTAGCTCCAGGGATGAGCACTTTTGCAAAAATACTCGCTGCAAATTAAAGCCAGGGAGAACAGGAAAAGCCATCAGAGGAGTAGAACTCCTCGGGTTTTTTGTGGAGCAAAGCAATTCCTGCCTTTGCTGCGTGGAACTGAGGATGAGCAGGGATGCTGGGGCAGGGGGGGAAGGAGGGAACCGGTCCAGGAGCTGCAGTGCTGGATGCTGGATGCTGTGCAGGCCTTGAGAAAGAGGAGAAATAATGAAAGCAGGGATGAAGGAGATGATCTGATAGAAGAGACGTTAGAATAAAGGAATCTGGAGTAATCACAGAATCACAGAAGGTCTGGCTTGAAAGAGACATTAAAGGTCGTCTCATCCCAATGAGAATGCCATGGGCAGGGACACCTTCCAATAGACCAGGTTGCTTCAAGCCCCATGCAGCCTGGAATAAAGAAATCTGGAATAATGACCCACAGAAGAGGCAGAGTGGGGAGAGCAGGGCAGGGTTGGGAAGCCAGCCTGGGAGAAGGTACCGAGGGAACCCATCTTTCAGCCACCCACACGGATGGGATGGGGTGGGTAACAGAGAAGGGCAAAGCACAGAGAGCTCTGAAGCAAAGGATGGATCATTCAGGGGACAAGGAAGAAAAGAAATGCCCCTCTCATTTTCCAGTGGTAGGAGAGAGCAAGGTTTTCAGAAAGGATGAGCATTCAGACCAGGAGCAAGAGGAGTCTCTAAACAAGAGAACCCTGGTGTGAGGAGGCAGGGAAGAGCAAAGGGCTTGACAAACTGAGGTCATTGTGGGACAGGATGAGAAGGGTGTGGTGAAGGGGAAGGAGGAGAAGTTTGGAAGGAGCTGCCCAGAAGGTTGGTTATGTTTGGGGAGCAAAAGCTCAGCAGAGTGGGAACTGGGTGAAGGTCTGCACTCTGGGATGTGCTGGAGAGCAGCTCAGACCTCACCAGCCTTTCTGACTTGCTATACCAGGCTATAAGGAAATCCCTAAAAAAAGGTATTGCTAAGGAGGATCATTTATGATCACAGATTCAGAAGGATTTTTGGAAGCAAACAGAAAGCTGACTTGTAAGGGAGCAGACCAAGATCAGTAGATATGGAAGTGGCAGAGAGGAATGCAGAAACAGAAAGGCAAGGACAGCAAAGAAGATTTGACAGAAAGAAATGGATGTGAAATATTTACAGTCTGTTCACAGCTTTAGATTGGACAAGGTGAGCTCAAAGCAGTGGTACATGACTTCCTGTAACATTTGTCTCCCACCCTGCAAAGGCCTGGACTTTTCTTTTATTCATAATTAAGATTTAAAGGCTTTATTCTTTACTTTTGAAAGACCAAAAGAATTGTGACATCCAAAGAGGAAAAAGAAAAAATAACTGGGTTAGAACAACAAATAAATTAACAACATGCACTGAGGAGAGAACCAGCCAGGATGTTATTTTGCCATCTGGGAATCTGGAGATTTTTTAACATTTTCAGATTGCAATGGCAGAGAGGGGAGGAGTGCCACTGTGGTTTTGGGATAAGTATTTTTATTTGAAATATGTAAAAACCCACAAGAATAACAAGTGTACTAACTCTCTAGACACTGTGATATTCTGAGGCAAGTGAATGCATCTCTCTGCTTCTCTCTCTGGAGCCTTGATCTCCTTCCCAAGGGAACATTCCAAAAACTGCAGCCCTTCTGGAGAAATCCCAATTGCAACAAATTAACCCTTGTCAACACCAAGAGATCTCTTTGTCCCATGCACCTCCAAACCCAAAAAGCAGGTGAGAAAATTTGTTTAGCATCAGTCATGTAACGTGACCACCACCAACCTACTGGTTGGCTTTGAACAATGCTTTGAGGAGAAAACCCTTTTTCTTGAACTTTCAAGAGTGAGGGATAAAGGGTGCTTTAAACCCCCCTTTCTCCTTCCTGACAATGCAGTTGAGCTGATAAAATTCCTTTTTGTACCTCAAGCTGAGTCTCTCAGGGGTGAGAGGCTCATCTGAAGGTGCCCAGTGGCCTCTTCCACACAGGCAGGACTGAGCAGTCAGCAGGACACTGGTCCAGGATGTTGTAAGATTATTTTTTTTTCTGCTTCTGCTGCCTCTCTGCAGGAGAAAAATCACATAGCCTGGCCAAAAGTCTTCATTTCTCACCTACTGCCTGCCTTTTTTATTTTTTCACACTGTTTGTTCAGCACACTGGAATCAAAATCCTGGTTGGAGGCTTTGGGCACTGGAGTTTCCTGAATTTTTTGAGGAATGCATCACTTAATAAATTACCAAAAATAAGAATGACAGTTTCAAGAAAAGAAGTAACTACTTTTAAATTTGGTACATGTTTCACGTTCTTAAATGCTGCCCTGTGTTTTCCAGCATAAACTCTTGAAGATTTTTCAAATGGTTCAAATATTACAGTCAAACACTAAGCTGGATTTCATTTCAGTTCTGTTCTTTATAGTTAACACCTGAAACAATAGTCCTGAATTAAACTAAATGTTTTTTCAGGATCAGGAGAATGATTTCTTCATTTAAGTGAGAAGAGCTAGAAAAATCTTCAGTCTGAACTGATTTCCATCTTTTCAGTTCAAACTTTAGAAAATCAGAAGCAATATGTATTGTTTAATCCTGTTGTGTTCCATATATTTAATAATAATATAAAACCCACTACAAAAATAAATATAGAGGGGATGAATGTTGAAGATTAAGTCTGAAGGAAGAAAATAATTTATTGTTCTCTAGTCCACAAATCAACACCATTCTTTAATAAACCAAATTTTACTGTAACCTCTTGATGAAAAACTACTTTTGCAGCTATCCCTGGGCACAATTAACCACTTCATCAAAGTTTCCCTCTGATTGGATCTAGTGAATTGTGAGCTGGACTCGTTTGATGTGAAAATGTTGTTTGTGCAAGAAGCAAATTCAATTATATGAAAAACTGACAGAAATCCTGCAGCTGCTGACAGTGCTGCTTCTCTGCTGATGCCATGGTGCACATGACACAAATCAGACCTCACCAGGCAGCAGAGATCTGACTTAGAAATTCCTCAGCATCCCAGGAAAGCTGGGATTTGGTTCTTGGCAGGCAGAAAACCTTTGCCAGCTTCAGAGTGGGCTGGTTCTCGTGTGCTGCTATTCCCTGGTTGGTCTGGGTGCATGTGCAAGGTTCTGGAAGGGAACAGGACAGACAAACCTGTCCACACACACAGAGCCCAATAAGACCCTTTAAAGAGAACTTATTAAAAGGTCACCTACAGTTCTTCTGGGAAAGGAACAAGCTCTGCTCATAAATGGCAATGGAAACCTCTGCATGTCAGCCCTCACACCACTGCTACACAGCTGCTTTCTTAATCTACAACCCACTCCAAGCCACAGCTGATGGAATTAGCCAGAGCTCAGCTTTTAGTTTGCCCTGTAACAGTGAGTAGCAAGGATGAGCTGAGATTATCCAGCAACACCAAAACTCAGCTCTATGCAGACTTAGGCAGTCACTGTAAGTGTTTGGAGAGGGTAGAAGGAGCTCCAGAACCACCTGACTTCTCAGACTCTCAATCTACACAAAATCAAGAAATTCCTGTGTATTTCAAGACCCAGCATGATTATTGAGAGGAGGGAAAAAAGAGCAAAAAGGAAAAAAAAAACCCAAAAAAAACCACAAGTTCTCTCCTTATTTCCCTTCTTCAGAGAAAGAAAAGCCACTGTATTCAGCCTCCCACTACAGTGACAGTTTTATCACTCATGTTCTCTATCCGTCAATGTGAAGAGCTCCTGCTCCCCAGGCACAGCAACCCTCTGTTCTGCTTTGTGCCAAGGCTTAGGGCAGGAAATGCACATCATCTGTCAGGCTGGTGACACCAATGTCCTCTGTACCTCAGTGCCATTTGGCTTTCAGGAGTTTTACCTGATTGGTGTGGAAGAATCACATCAAGTCATGATCCCAGTGTTGGCTCTTCAGCTCTCTTCCTCCTAACCCAGGTATGAATATCCACATCTTCATCTAATGGATAAGCTGCTCTGTTAACTCAATCATGGAGCTGTTACTTTTAAATATGAGACTGGAGGATTTCAAATGGAACAATAAATTTTTTCTCATCTCTTTTTCCTCTCTAAAAAGTGTCCCCCAGTAATCCTGTGTTATTACCATGACCTTCCAGCACCAAACTTTCAGCTTACTGGGACTATTCAGCTTGGTAAGGAATGCAAGACTTTGAGGAAGGTACAAATTTACCAAAGTGGCTTCTGGGCCACAAACCTCAAGGCCCTCCTTCTCAAGCTGCACTGCAAAACTGCTCTGGCTGCACTTCTCAAATGCAGTGACAACATGACTGTGATCTGGTAGAACATTCATCTTCCCATTCCTGGTGTGTAAATGCAATTTTCAGAGTGGGAGCATGTTCAGACCACAGGGAGCAAGATAATTCAAGCAGCAAGAGATTGAGGACAGCTTAAAGATCTCCACAGACAGCTCTAGAACTGCCATGGATATGTCACACATGGCTGACTTCTCTGCCACACCACACCGCGGCTCCTCACCATGAATTCCACTCTGCTGCAGCAGCAGACTGATAAAGAAAACCCCTTCTCAAACCGAGGGCTGCACTTTCAATCAAAATCTGGTCCTTCCGCATCTGCTTGAGACCTACACTGAAAGCTCAGAGTTGAAAATTGTTGTATGTGGAGAGGAAGATTAGATGCAGATACATAGAGATCTTTGTTTCAGCTGATCAACTCGTTTGTTACAAACAGGAGACATCCTTTATAGCTAGAAATGAAGTATGACTCCACTGAGCAAAGATAAAATTAATAAATGCGGGTCTGTGGTGATGAATCTTCTCAGCTTCGTTGATGCTAGAAAATATTTACTGGGGGTGTAGAAAGATCCAACAGCGTAAGTAATAAATGGCTTGTAGCCATTTATTATTTACGCTGTCAAATCAATATAT